ATATTGATCAGATTGACACGAATCATTTTTCACTTATCTTATCTTATAATACTCAAATCAATTTTTCGGTTAGTCATATCTACCTTTGATTCACTGCAGAAATTACATAAGACTCTTGTATGAGTATTACAGTGGTTTTGTGAAAGATGAGTGTTGAAGTATATGGCGAGAAAATTGAGTTCATCTTCCATAGCTTGTTCCAAAAACCGCGACAAACATGCCGATATTCTTTTTACCTATTTACAGATTGTGCGAAAGAGGTGGATATGTTTGCCATAATTAGTCATATATATATATATATATATATTGTAGTTTCCAAGAATAGTTAAAGAGTAGCTCTATCTTATTTATTATTTTAATTCCGTACAGAAAGCGATGAAAGCTTTTTCTTTACTATCTATTTTTATAACTTTCCGTTCTTGTAATATCTATCAATGGACAGAAAATTTCATTGCATTACAAATTCTACATTAGCTTAATATTCTACTTCTCACAATAGATTTATTTTGTTATCTTTTATATCTCTTCGAAAGATATGGTATAAATAATACGAAGTAAAAATAAATATATAATACATTGCAATGACGAACAATTATTCTATTTTATTTCAAGGATGAAACTTAATATTGAAGTGAATTTAGAAAAATATATTAAGTGTATTTTGATGAATATTCATTTGATAGAAATATGCTAATATATGTTCCCTTATAGAAATAGTCATTAACATCAATAAAAATGAATTGATTTATGTAAAAAAAAAAAAAAGAACATTTCTATCAATAATGTTTTGAAAGAAAACATGAAAAACTCAAAAAAAAAAAACTATACCGGTCAGGCAGTTTAAAGCTCTGATGTATATATACGGAAAGTTTCAGATCAAAATTCAATTGTTTAGTCAAATTTTTTTAGGTTTTTTTATTAGAATATTTTGCAATATTTATAGGCAAAAAAAATCATTGAAATTGGAAGAGGAGATCCTTTCGTTAGTTCTTTTTATTTATTTTTATAAGTTTTTATTTGTATGTTTAGATATTGTTTCTATTGGTGAAGTTAAACCATCAGCTGAACAAATTGATCGAGCAAAAAAATTACAATTACCATCAACATTCTATTTATATGAAAATAAAGAACCATGCAAAGGTTGTCCAGGGTGTGAAGAAGATACACCACCAATTGTACTTAATGAAAGTATGTTCTTAATATTTATCTATTGTATTAATGATAATATAAAAGAATATATCTATTCTTTTGTTAACGATTGACATTTTCATATTTGTTTAGATAAAACCGAAATAAAACAAACAGATATAATTAAAAATGATACAAAAATAACCAGTAAATTGATAATTGATTATAATAAGTAAATATTTTTTTTTCTTTTTTTAGCTCCTCAACCACAATCAACAACATCAGCATCAAAACCACCATTAAGTTCAAGTGAAAATATTAAATTTTCATTTACAAATGCTGAAAAACAACAAACGCAATTACAAAAACAAACATCAACAACAAAAGAGGAAAAATCATCAATTGAATCATCATCATCACCTGTCGCAAATGCAACATCGCAATATGATAATAAACCATCAATATTTGGAAACTTGAATGGTCTATCTAATACATCAATTTTTGGAAGTTCAACACCACTAAATAATCCTAGTGGTTCCATATTTGGTAGTAATGCATCATTAAAACCATCAAATAATACTAATAGTGGATTTTCTTTTCCTGGTTTTGGTAATACAACAACACCAACAAATGGTTTTCAATTTTCTACACCAGCTGCAACATCATCATCATCATCAACAACAACAGCAACAACAACAGCGAATACATCATCAACATTTTCATTTGGATCAGCATCAGCTAATAAACCAATTTTTGGTAATACACCAAAATTTAGTTTTTCTGACTTAGCTAAACAATCATCAACAACAACAACAAATGAGAAACCACTAAGTAATGGAACTGAACAACGAGGTATAAAATATTATTTTCTTGAAATATTTCATTTTGTTCTTTATTTTGTTAGTTTTTGCTGGTCAAGGTTCACTTATATTTGGTACAACTACAACTCCAACTCCAACTCCAAAAGCTAATACAAATGAAGATGATGAAGGTGGTGATGGTGGTGGTGGTGGTGGTGGTGGTGAAGATGAATCATATGAACCAAATGTTTCATTTAAACCAATTGTACAATTATCAGCTGTTGAAGTTAAAACAGGTGAAGAAGATGAAAATGTTCTCTTTTGTGAACGTGCAAAACTTTATCGTTTCGATGCTGAAACAAATCAAATGAAAGAACGTGGTGTTGGTGAAATAAAAATTTTACAACATAAAACAACAAATCTTTGTCGTATATTAATGCGTCGTGAACAAGTTTTAAAATTATGTGCCAATCATCAAATAACATCACAAATGGAATTAAAACAACATCAAGGTTCAGAAAATGCATATGTTTGGTCAGCTATGGATTTTGCAGATGGTGAAGCTAAACATGAAACATTATGTGTTCGATTTAAAGCAAGTGATACAGCAAAAAGATTTGTTAAACAATTTAATGAAGCTAAACAAGCAACTATTAATGCTCAGTAATAAGAACTAAACAAAAACAATGAATTTAATGAGACATTCTCTGTTGTTCTTATTCTAAATTGATCTTCATGGTATATGTGTCGGTGTGCGTGTGTCTATCTGTCTTTTTTTTTCTACTATTGATCATTTTCTCTGTTCTGAATTCTTTATTTCTTTCTTTTTCTTGTGCTTGTATGTGTGTGTGTGTGTGCGTGTGCGTGTGCGTGTCTGTATACGTCGGATAGTCTTGTTACGTTGAAAAACTCTTGAATAAAAAAAAAAGATGGCGACACAAAATAACGACACGGTTAATAACTAAGAATTCATGGTTTTTTTTAAAAATAAATAAATATATATATACATATATATGTGAAAAGATCAATGATAATAATAATAAATAATTACATGAAACAAATTTTTGACCGCAAGGTAGGTTAGATAGATATGACTAAACTAATTGACGAAAGTTATCATAATGCATTCTTGATTTAAAATGATTTGTATCCTGTGTCTATCTGGCATTAGCATCTTTTACAATTGCCTTGACTATCAATATCTCGTAAAAGTAGCATCACAATCAAACAATCATAATATAATATCCTATAGATGGATATTCTATTTTTGTTGTGCATAAAAATCCGATTGGTATCTAAAGCTTTTGTTTCCCTTTATACATGCGATAGAATTCTTATGTTGATGTTTACAAGAATAAAGATGTCGTCTCGCACATGCATCGGTTTTTTCTCTTTCTTCTTCTTCTCTTTTTTTTTTATCGACATGCATATTGGTGTGCAACTGCCGAACAGAGTCTACCAGAATTGTACAACAACAACAACAATAAGAAGAAGAGGAACAACAGCCGCAAATATTTGAGAGAAATTATATATTTCTGCGCTTCGACTACTGTTGTTGAAATGATGCGACAAACAGAGAAAGAAGAAAGAGTACAGTAATAATCAAAGAAACCTTGAAATTGTCGTTAAGGGAGAGAGAGAGAGAGAGAGACACATCACAAAAGCCCTTTTGCTTGTATTTTCAGATAGGAAAGATAGTTGCATATTACGTGCAAATATATTTTGCATATACATTTTTTGTAACTTGTTGTCACACTTGACTGCATACATCATTAGTAATGATAAGAAATTAAAACGGTATTCAACTTGTCATGGCAAAATATTCTTTAGAAACAGGTGGTAATGATGATTAACAAAAAAAGAAATCGATGCAACGAATCGAGACAAATCAAAAAGGAAAATATTTTTTTCCTTTTAGTCTTTCTTTTTCTTTGTAAGCGATAACGACAAGAAGAAAAAAAAAGAGGTATAAGATTCGAGAAGAGCATAGATTATCACAAAAAAATATCAACCAAGAAGGGTTTGGTATGTGTGTTAGTATTACTCATACATATGTATAGTAGTTGTTTGCTTGGTTTTTTTTTCTCTATCTCCCAAGAAAAACCACAGCGTCATCATTATTATTATTATTGTTATTATCGTTCTCGCCCTCGTCAATATTCTCTCTTCAGATATGTTTATTGAGTATTTACTTATTAAGTTCTTGTTTTTTCTCTTTCTCTCTGTTTATCGTTTTCTTTGTTTTTTTTTCGCTTGCTTGTACAACCTAACTCAAGCTGTTAGGACAGGTTGTTGTGTTGTTGTTTTTCTTTTTTTTTTTCTTGCTTTTTCCGTGGTTAATATTAGTATAGATGATAACGATAATGTTAAGAGCTTAGTTGTTCATTTTTGTCAGTCGATTTAATGGGAAAAAAAATTTATGTCGACATTTGCAATACATAGACTCTTGTTCTTGTCAATCCAATTGGCATTTATAAACCACATATACACATGGATATTTTCTTCTATTCTTTTATCATCTCTGTTTTCTACTAAGCTCTATTTTGTAGATCATCCTCCTAAGCGGCATTTCGTCACTTTCGTTGTTATCGTCGCACAAAAGAGAGAAGAATCCAAACGCGACGAATCCGATTTTCCCTCCTGCTCAGGTTAGGTTTTTTACATGTTTTTTCGATTATCTTTTTTTTTACTACCAATCATCTCCTCTCCTATTTGTTAAATACACTTTCACTGTCTATTTTTATGATTTATTTTTTCTTTGCATACACACATTTTTTTATGCGCTTATGGTTAGTCGACCGTAACATTCTTCGTCGTAGAGAAAAAAAAACAGGAGCAAATACCTAACCGCAATGAAAAATATACATATGTGTATATAAAACTATACATTTTTCTTAAATAAATGTATATGCTTCGATTAACATACATATAATTATTTTTACTTCTATATAAACAAATATTTTTTTTAGTACGTCGCTTGCTATTATTACTTATTAAGTATCAGTCATCGTGATGCATCTTAACTGGCTATTGGTCACTAGCTTGATTGTTCTGTTATCCATCGGTTTGACGATGAGAACAGTCGATGCTAGCAAGAAATCAAAAGAAGAAAAGGAAGAAGAAGAACAATCAACCGATACTGATACTGATACTGATACTGATTCGGACGACGATGATGATGATGATGACAAAAAAGGTAAGGCTTTTGAATTAACTTTACTCTCCCTACTAACCAAAAAACAAAATATCCCAGGGTAATTGTAACTAACATACAGATTAATTTTCAAAACTAAAACTAAAACTAAAAAAGAAACCAAACAAACAAAGAAATAAAGAGAGAATTTAAAGATCGTCTAAAGCAAAGTTTTCTTCTTCTTCGGATTTTTATTCGAATATATGTGATTGAGAGAGCGTCTTTTTTTTGTTTTGCCTGCTGATATTTCAGTGGTGTTTGTATCGCGCGAGAAAGCTTCAATTTTTCTCTCCTACAATGAATGTGTACGACGAATGAATTGTGGTTCATCACGCAAGGAAGAATGCAGTGAAGAATGTGCTGTTGGTAAGTAGAAATAAATTGATTGAATTATTCGATCTTATTATATTTTAATTTCATTAAAAAAAAAAATTATTAATAAATTTATTTACTTATACAGGCAATACTGAAGAAGAAATTGAAGAATATACGGAAATTTTTGAACATATTGAAGAATTTCGATCAGATTCAAAGAAATCAGTAACAAAAAAAACTAATAAGAAACAACAAGAATCATCATCATCATCATCATCATCGTCGTCGTCATCGTCATCATCAGATAGTGATGATGATAGTGAAGATGATAGTGATGATGAAAGTGATGAAAGTTCAACAGATTCAACATCATCAGATTCAACAACATCAGATGCTGAAAGTGATCCAAGTAGTGAAGAGGAAGAAGAAGAAGATAACAAACCATCAGCTAAAAATAAAAAATCACAATCATCTTCAACAACATCAGGAAAACAATCAACAACTAGTTCAACACATAAGAATTAAATTATCGAGAGAACATCCTGTGTGAGAATGATACCCTTTTATTTTTCTCCTATTCCTTGGCTAAATTTCCGGATTTTTGTATTGTTAGGCTAGAATATGTATTTTTCTTCTTCATATTTCGAGTTGCCAGCTGAACAATCATAACCCGTTTACCCCTTAACATGTGGTGTCTTTCAATATTTTATGTTGGTTTTTTCGTGTATTTATTTCACTAATGCTAGCTTCATACGATCTTTATCTCTCTCTTTCTAAACTAACTATACTGAGAACAAAATGTCTTTTATATATACAAACATATATACATACATCTATATATATATATATATACATATATATATACATCTAATTCTTCAATTTATCAATTTTAGCTGTGTTCATCTCTCGTGATCGTGCGTCCATCTTTTTATCATACAACGAATGTATGAGGAGGATGAATTGTGGTTCGTCAAGACGCGAAGAATGCAGTGAAGAGTGTGCAGGCGGTAAGAATTCTTTTTGATTTGTTATTGTACATGTTTTACATTTTTTTCATATAACTAAAGGTAATACCGAAGAAGAAATAGAAGAATATGCTGAAATCTTTGAAAATCTTGAAGAATACCGTGGCGATGCAAAGAAGGGTAACCGACCTAAACGAAAAGGTGATGATACCGATTCGGATACTGACACAGATACCGATACTGATACAGATACGGATACTGACACAGATACCGATTCGGAGGAAGAAACAGACACAGATACTGACACGGATACCGATACAGACACAGACACAGACACCGACACGGATACAGATGACGATGATGAAGAAGAAGAAGAAGAAGAAGATGATAATGGTGAAGAGGAAGATGAAGAAGAAGACGATCGCTCACACAAGAAGAGCAAGAAATCAAACAAACACAGCCACAAAAGCGGCAAGTCAAAACGTCATTAAACGATGATTTTTCGTTCTGAAGACTTCACCTTTTTTTTTTTCATTAACAATAATGTCCCGTGAAAAATTTTACACGCTCATATTGACACTCTTCGATGTTATAATACATTTTTTTTAAAATTTTTTTTCATATTACTAAACTACCATAACATATTAACGTAGAAAAAAGAACAATTAAATACAATTTTTTTTTAATATTTCTTTTTCAGTGTGAACATTTTTTTTTTTTGATGCTATATTTAGTTAGTTCCTTATCTACCTATTTTCTTTCCTATTGTTTTGTTCACATGTAATAACTGTTTACGAGTGATAACATTTCTAACTTTTTTTTTCACTATTGTCTTCAATTGTTAATTCATTTTATTTTTCATACTTAGCAATTACAACATGTCTGTTTTTTTTTCAATTTTCCTAATTAGCCGTTTCAAATTTTCTAAAAATCATATTGTTTTTCCTTTATTTAGATGATAATAAAAAAAAAAAAAAAGAAACATAAAAAAGCGGGCAAGAAAAAAGAAATATTAGTTCATCCTTCATCATCAAATTGTTCTTCGCCTGGTATATCTAAATAAATATAATAAATATACAGAAAAAAAAAACCTAAAAATAGACTAGTTAATTTACCATCATTAAATTGTGGATTTTCATCATTATCTTCATTACCATCTGCCGCATCGCCTGTCTCTGCATTTAATTCATTATCTAGATGTTCACCATCTATATATATGCATATATAGTTGTAACTTTATAAATACCAATAAAAAATCGTTCTTACCAGATACAACATTTGTGTTTTGCAGAGTATCTTGTTCTACAAATATAAATAATGCATCATCAATTATTAGTTTTAATTAAAAAATACAGAGAGAGTACGCAAGGAAAGTAATATCATATTATTAAACATGTTATATTATATAATTCTTTTAATTTAAATTAATTCTGTATATATGATCTATGCCAAAAAAAAAAATAAAGACAGACAATGAAATTACCTTGTGATCTATATGTTTCTGCTTGTTCATCATCTAAATCGTACGGTTGTTCTTGTTCCGTTGCAACAACATCATGTGCAATCCATTTGTATTGCACTTCGGGTGGTGCTTCTGACTCATCTTCAGTGGCCTATAATTTATTTAGCTTTATATATTGAATATTTTTGGCATCAAAAATGACATACTGTTGATGTGATATGATATTCTCCATTTTGTTGATATCCATTTTTGAATACAAATTTTCCTTTACCTTTCGGCTAGAAGAATAAAATAAAAGTTGTTATTTATCGTTTACAGTTTTTTTTTCAATATGATGTTGTCATTATTATGAATATGTTTATTCTCTCTTATAGAAAATTATCAGCAAGTCAATTACTTATTCTAGTATCAGAGTTTATTTTTTATATATTAGAATTTCTAGTAAATTACGTACATAATTCTCGCGAAACTTGCCAACATATCTATAATAATTAAATTGTAGTTCACCAGGACCTTGTCGTTTACCATTATTCCATGTACCAATATACTGAGCTTCTGCAAAACAATTTTTCATAACCACAAAAATATAAACAAATTTAATTGACATAGTACATACTTGTAGCTGCATAAGTATATGTTCCTTTGCCATGTCTTTGATGATTCTTCCATTCACCTTCATAAGTATCATTATTAGGATATGTATATGTACCATAACCTTCGCGAACATTTTCATTCCAATCGCCATCATATTTTGAGCCATCTGGATAGTAAAATATACCTTTACCATGGCGTTTATTTTTCACATAATCACCTTTTTGTTTTTCATAAATGAAAGGTAATTTTATATAATTAAGGTTAAAAATAATACTTACCTATGTAACGTGCAGTATTTGAAAATCGATATGTTCCAGTACCATGTCGTTTTCCATTTTGATATTGACCTTCATATGTATCTCCATTAGGCAATGTAGCTTTTCCAAAACCATGACGTTCATTTTTTTCATTACGATCACCTTCATAAGACTTAAAACAAAAAATTAAAAACCAATATCTAATTAGTAATTAATATAGGAATAGAAATAGCAACTGACATACGCCTAAATTATTTGTATTTTCTTCTTCGCCCACTTCTTCTTCGTCGTCAGCCATTGTATATGAATAAAAGAATGTATTTCAATTAATAAAATATACTTCTGGTGACAATGATATGTAAAGTCTCCTATCTGCCATTAGCATAATAAATTTCCCTAACAACAAAACGTCGTTACCATGCTTACCATTCATCAAAATGCATTCGTAAATTTTTGTCGACACATATGTATGAATAGAGGCTGTGCCATAGAGAAAAACTAAGAAATGAATGAATTCATATCTAAAAAAAAATATATCAAATCATAAGCTGAAAGAATAAACAATAATCTTTATGATTGAATAATTATTTTAAAATGTCCTCTACCGTACAAGTATTTAATTTTAATTTGAGAGCAAAAAATATATATGAATTATAATTTTTTTTTTGATTTTTTCTATAGCCTAGTACTTTTTTACCTGGCGGTATCAGTAGTCTTTATAATAATAATCTCACATTAGCTCCACCATATATTTTCGTAATTATACTTGGTTGTCTGATATTCATTCTCATTGTTCTAATTATTATTCGAGAAATTCTGAAGGTAAAATAGAATTTTTATTGGTCTGTCTATTTGATTGTCTTACTTTATATTTATTATTAAAAGTCTCGTGGTATACTTAAAGATTGTTGTAATTGGCAAGAAACTGGTGGTATTCAATGTTTAGGTTGTCAAGAATGTTGTGCATCATGTGCTGAAACATGTGATTGTTGTCAAACAACTTCCATTGAATCATGTTTTGATGCATGTTGTCCAAAACGAGGAGTATGTTATAATAGAATTTATAGAAGGATTTTTATTTTTCATATATAGTCACTCGAATTTGCCGATATTATTACATGTGAAGCATGTTGTGGTGAACGATATTGTGGCGAAGTTAGAACTTTTTGTTTTTTGTCAATAATTTTAAAAATAAAAAAAAAATTAATTTATTTTAGTGTTGTGGTGCTAATTGTATTTGTGCGCCGACGGATGTCAGTAACGTCAATTGTTTGTGTTGTGCTATTGAACAACAACCAGACATGGATGGCAGATAACTATACAAAACGTATATCAACTGATAAAAAAAACAGATTTTTCGTGTACTAAAATGTTTGTGCATTGTTTTTTTTTTATCAATCAGACAGGGTTATTAAAAATCTCAATTGTTATTTTTTTTTCTTCTCTTTTCGTTTTATACATTTGCTTGATATAATGAATTAGTAAAGTTTGTTTTTTTTTCTTCTATCTTCAGATATAATCATGACATCATTCATGGAAGATTATTTTCGAACAGCTTTAAGTAAAGAATTAGCTATGTAAGCAAAAACAAAAAAGAAATAAATTCTATGACTTTTAACTATTTTTCGATTTATTTAAGAGCACCACCTGAACGTGATCATGAACATTTATCATCAACTTCACGATTGTTAGAAAAACAACGTGAAGTTACAGAAGCCGAAGCATTATTAGCTGCTCAAAAAGAAGTAATTTAAATAAATAAAATTTTTGTAAATTTTTTTTTCTCATATGAATTAAATAGGAATTTAAATTAAAAATGCAAAGTTTAAAATTACGTCGTGAAAAATTAAATACAAAAGAACATGAATTACGTGAAAGTTTAGCTAATTTTGAAAAATATATCAATGTATGTATCTTTATTTTATTTAAAAGAAAAATAAATAAATAAATAAAACAATTTTATTTAGGAACTTGATTCTAAACGAATGCGAGCACTTAAACGAGCACAAGATGAACGTGAACTTGCATCAGTTAAAGATAAAGATATTGAAAAATTACAAGTTGAAATTGATGATTTAAAACACAAAAGAGAAGAATTATTAGCTCGTATTGCTAAATATGGTAATCATAATAAATATCTTGAAAAAGTATGGATCTTTCTTTTGTTTTATATTTTGATTATTATTATTATTTTAATTTGTAGACGGTTGAAACAGCTGATGAATTTCAAGAAATTCGTGAATTAATCGATCGTTATACAACATTAAAAACAAATAAAGAAGTAATAATTTCAATTGAATATTTTTTTTTCTTCTCTCTATTGAAAAGATTCGATTTAATTTAGTCGTTATTAGAAATTCAAAATCAACGTGAAGAACAATTAGAAGATTTACGTCATAGACGAGAAGCATTTATACAAGTTAGTTTAATTTTATAATCCTTGTTTTTCTCCTCTTATTATTATTATTATTCGATTTCAAATTTAATTATATAGAAAAAGAATAATGAAATATTAATATTAAATAATCGAATTGGTGATTTACAACATGAACTTGAACGAGCTGAAATTGAAGCAAGACGTGCTGAAAATGAATGGAATTTTATTCAAACAACAGCAGCTGAAAAAACATTACAACTTGGCAATGTTATCTTGTATATTAGATTATAATAATTTCTTTTTTTTTTATACAAATATTTTACTATTTTTTTTTCTGGTCATAATTTTAGAGCTGTACGTAATTTACAACAACTTGTACGTCAACAACAAAAAATTGATAAAGAAGAAGAAGTTGGTGAAACTGAAGATCCAATAAAAAGAGTTCGACAACAATTAGATAAAGTAAAATTATTTATATATGTTTTATAGTTCATAATGTTTTATATTTTTTTCATTTTAAGGTTCATATGTTTATTCATGATTTTACAGCGATTACAAATGAAATGAGACGTTTTGAACAAGCTAAAGCAAGAATTGGTTAAACATAGATTGTCCATTCAATTTTATATTTGTATCGTGCCCAAAATATAAATCCTAATAAATATTTGCTAATAATTCTATATCACAAATAATTTATTATTCACAAATTATAGAATCTAACTTATGTTGAAATTTTACTACTGACGAGGGAATCTCTCAAGATATCAAATTGTTTCTCGACCGTGAGACAATGTTCATTTGATGAGTATTAATGAGTAAAAGAAAAGTCAAGAATGATGTAATTTTCTAAGTGTTCGTTCTCGAAAATATCGAAATTCTACTAGATTTTTCAATAAAAAGCTATGGTAAAATCTACTTTCAAGTTTCAATTTCAAACTTTATACGAACAAACTTCTTAATAAGATTAGTTGATTGTGTAATGTCTTAGCTTTTCAATCCTGAGATATTCAATAATTCGTAAATTTTGTTCATATATTTATGTCGAAGTTCATTGTAAAATTCAGTTGCCTTTAAATGTCAATTAGTTGTCTTTAAAATTAAAAAGTCAACTAACATAGAACCTAGTTGTCTTTCTAATTTTAAAGTCAACTAGTTAACTTTAAAATGTATAAACATAAAATTGTTATACAATAACCAATAATAAATACTTGTTAACGAATGGAAAGTTTTCGATGTGAATTTAACAAAGAATTTCTTAATAATTGTCAGACCATCATAACATTTAATAATGAAGGAAGTATTCTACTCGATGCTAGATGCTTATATAAAGGTGTTGAGCGTTAGATGGCAATCAGAATGTTGGTGTCGGCGTAGGTGTGGAGGAAAAACTCACACCTATACCCTGTTTACTATTATTATATATTTGTTCAATGTTCATTCCTTTTTCTCAACTTTATCTATTTAATAGACGTTTACTTGGAAAACTAAATCGTTGTAGATTTTTCTATTACTTATTAGTACTCATCAAATGAATATAGTCTCAGTCAAAAAGCGATTTGATACTTGAAGAAGTTCCTTCATGAGATTTTATTTAAGAAAATTTCTTCAATTATTATTTGAAAGTCAACGTTTATCCATTCCTTGACATTTTCTAGTCTTACCTTTGGTACAATGAAACATGTTTAATTATCAAAGTTCTTTATGCTTTTAATCAAATATAATTACAATAAAATTTCTCTTAGATGAATACCATCGAGACTTTTTTTGAAATGTGTTCAATATTGAGAAGTGTTCGTCTATGAGAGATATCATATATTTTACTATGCAATAAAAAAAGAATTTCAGAATATAAGTTTCTTTATTAGTTTTAAAGTAATCAGAAACCATTCTCTGTATTATTTAACTTCTTTCATTTAAATATTTATGAATCCAAAAAAAAATCTTTCAAGAGAATATGAAATTTTATTTTATATCTTAAAGTCTTGTATTATGGTTTCGACCTTGATATATATAAATTTGATGAATGTTGTTCTACAATTCATTCAAATATATATTCATGAAGTTTTATTATATTAAACCTTTTGAATGTTCGTTTAATATATTAATTTTAGTTTCTTTGATAATCATTTAAATATTCAAGTTTTCAGCTACTTTACATTGTGGTGTCAAGGCTTTTCTTGATATGTACAGTTATAACGAAGGAGAAAGAGAGAGAGAAAAAAGAAATGTACGTGTGTTCATTTCAAAGAAGTTAAAATCTAGTAATCGAGACTATAAGTAAAAACAATGTTTAAATTTAGTGTAGGATGGTGTCCAGCTATGGAAAATGCATTTCTAGCAAAAATCATTTCATGAGACTGAGACCTTATTTTAAAAAAGAAAATGGGAAGAGATTTCATTGTATTTGAAAATTTTTTTTTCTCAAGCAAAAAAGAAACTATCTTATCTCAGTAATATATATGTTGAATGTCTCTTTAAAAAATTCTACTCTATAATTATGAACATTGTTTCATGTTGTCTTCACTCTTTCTTTTTTTTTCTCTTGTAAGTTATAACCACGGATTTGATGCATGTAATTTTTAAAATGATGATGTAATCTTTAGAAATAAACTAAGACACGCATTAAAGATAGTACAATTACCATGGATAGCATAAGTAACAATCTTCTATAAACGTCATACAATATATACTTATTGTTTCTACATCAATATGCTTATGTAAGAGACAAGATACAAACAAAACAGCATTTTCATCATTCATCAGAATTGAAGTAATAACAAGTATGTCAATTGACCTTTGTTTCTTTCTTTCTTGCTTTCTTTCGTTATATGCGCTCATTGAAAATTGCTCTTGTACAAAGAAACATTTACCTTGTCGTTCTCTATATTAAATCCATCAACTATTTGTCATTGCATGCTATAGTGATATTATAGGTGAGTGAAACCGGAAGGGTGTTATTTTATTACTTCGAAATTTGATAAAATGAGAAGCTTTTATATTAGGTTATTGATATCAACATTGATAACGCTACACGCACTTGTCTGACACCTTAATTTCTTTTTTTCTCTCTCTTTCTCGCTCTCTCGCTTTTCTCACGATAAATGTCTATATGATCGGTGCTGAACAGCCGGTAGGGCTAGTTTTTTGCACTTGTCAATCATCATTATCATTAGGAGAAGTTGAACGCTCTATAGTCTAATGTTAATGTTGATCGTAACATGTTCATTTTCTATTCTATATACTACTAGATTGTTTTTCTACTAATGTGAACTGTAGGTTACTTTTTTCGTCTTGATTTCTTTTTTTTTTTATTGTTTTTATACTCAGGAGGCAACTTCTGTTTGTCATCGAGTACTCGTTTGATCGCTGCTTGACATATATAAATTTTCTAATTTGATAAGTTTAATTCAAATGCGTACACATTTCTCTACAAGCAATAGATAATACAAGTTTATTTCATTGAGAATAAAACAAAAAAAAAATGTAATTATAGGAATGATCATGACAGGTGAAAAGTGTTAAATAGGTAGAAGGAAAAGCATTTTGACAAGTTATCAAATATAGGCGTTAGTAGATATAGTTAGATCATTGCATGCATCATCATGAAATTGATTCAAACATATTGCATGTAGACAATGATGACCGGATATCTCATACACAGGATATTATATATCTATCTATCTATTTCTCGATGGTATTATTTGTTTTGTTAGCTTCATCATTCGAGTTTATTTTCTATCTTTTTCATTACTCGTTGAAAGATTGTTATGAAATGATGCGTGCAATTATTGTATGTGTAATCTTCAGATTTCTATTGCAATGCTTTAATTTAAAGACAACAAGAAAAGAAAAATATGACAACATGTGAATGTTAATCAATAAGGGGACGATATTGATGAATACAAAGCATGATTAAAATCAGACACATCGATGATTATTTATTTTGTTTGATGTCTTTTAAGAGATGAACTTCTGTTCATGTCTTTTTCACTATATCGAAGTTCAATGGCGATTGATGATGATCCGTGAAACGACCTTTCATGGCTCATTCAACAGTAGAAGTTCAATTTTAATTGAAAAAAAGAAAGAAAAAGAAATTCAAAAATAATCGAACGATAGATTAACATGAAGAAGCCAGATATGTATGTGTGTCGTGATAGTGCTTCTAATGGAAAACTATTCTCATTCTCCACCTCCTTCGTCTTATTTTCTTTTTTTCGCTTCTTCATTATTGTTCACTCTTATTATTTATCGACACGTACTCTTCACTATTTGTAATGAGATTCAGTGTTTCGTCGTGTAATTAAACATTTGACAAGACGTATGTATGTATACATGAGATTTTGTCATGAAGAGTCGCGCCGCCGATTTGTTTAACCTGTTTGTATGACCTTTATCAATCCAATGCTGTCTCATATGTCGCCTATTACTACTTGAAAGAGAGTAAGAAACTCAAGAACACACCCAAAGGTGCCAATCACTATTATCATTATCACCATTATTATCATCATCATAATCTTACCCATTCATTACTTCTTTTTTTGTAGTCTATAATAATCAATAGTAGTTCTCATTTCTGTTGTCGCTCAAAGTGCCGCATTCATATATATATATATATACATATATGTATACTCGTGACATTTTGTAAGACACCTCTCATCAAGGTCCTTTATTCTTTCTGTCTTTTTTTTTAACGCCATTCTATCATCATACATGTATGTATGGATGGATGGATGGATGTGAAACAAAGATTCCACTTGTGTGTATGTTATGATACTTGCATACGCCTCTGTACACTCCATTCATTATGTAATCGTTTCACACATAGTATGCATGTGCACTGTTACCACCAGTGTTGCTCTATGAAGGACATTCACTATACTATTAATACAACCTTCTATTATACTAAACATATCAATATATACATTTCCGGAACTGACTCATCGTTCTAGTAAGGAAATTATTCATGCTTTCAATATGTTGACCTTCGTTAGGCGATTTTTTAAACGAACTTTTTTTTACTTCTTCTTCTTGTTGATTCATTATGTATATGTCTATCTAAGCACAAGTGAATCTGTTTATCTAATCAATTCTAGTCATAGCGAGTGCGTGTAATCATTAAGAATAACAATTGAAGAGAAGAAGGTTGTTGATTTTCCACATGCAAATGAATATGAGTCTGTCATTCGTTAACGAGTATTCATTCCAATCTGGCACCATCATATAACATATATAAACAAAACGAACGAACGAACGAACTAACTATTATTCTCATGAATAAATTAGAATGTTGAAATAGGCACCTGATACTTATTCATATAAATATAATATTGAACATATTCTCAAATTTCGATAAAAACGAATATTATATTATATTCATTTTTAGTCTTTCTAAAACAAAAATAGCTATTAGCACCATTTTTTTTCCTCATTCTATTTTGGCTTCAAGTAATTATATTTGTTGAGCTGTGAAAGTATCCCATCAATAGAACACTTTCACTTTAAGTCATCGACGCGTGAATATGACAATATGACACCTGTTCATGTCAAATTAATTAATCAGACAAACAATAGAGAGAAACCTAGACAATTGCCTTGTTAT